CCTTAACAGCAACCCAGGAAAAGCCTGGCGGATTCGGCTGAAGCCGCCAACCCGGAAGTTCGACAGCTCTGGGAGCAGCATCAAGCTTGGCAGCCGCCCGAACCCGCCGAGGATCCCACGCGAATTACATTGACATGGGGCCTATATAGGGGCATATAGGGTTATACAGGGGTTTACAAGGGTTATATAGGGGTATGTATAGGACACATAGGGTTTAGGGCTTCCCCAAATGTGGGGTACCATTTGGCGTGGGTCCCTATAATCAGGGTTATCGTATTCTAGGATCTATAGTGGGGATAGTCTAAGCTCTCATATGGGGACTACTATGGGGGATATTTAGGGAGTAGACTTTAGCTCACATAGGGGTGCAATTACATACATGCAAATACACCTGATTGTATATACACCATACATCTAGAAGGGTTATATGATGCAGGGCGGCTTCGTGCGGCGCGCATCAGGGTTCCTTAGGAAATTAATGACTGCATATGATTGGTGTCTCGGTAGGGGGGTTCAATTCAAGACGTATCCTTCTAAGCCCTACCGGCTACTTCTGACACATCCCCGCAGTCTCTGTGAAAGCCTTGCATCTTGTTGATACAAGGGCTGTGCAATGCGCAGGGTTGTACGCGTTTGTTCAAGCGTCCGCCAAACAAACATGGATCCCAGCATGGCCCCCTCTTGCAATCACACGCGTCTTTTCGGGCCCTTCATGCCCTTCATGGGTGGGTTCCATGTTGGCCCTGAAGAGGATCCGGCCATCCTCTCCTATCAGCTTCATAGCTCAAGCAACTCACATCGCCAGAACAGCGGGGTCACTGCGATCGACTCATGTCTGGCCGTGGTGGAGTCTCAGGAGCAAGAAGTCGCTGAGGTGTGTGATCAAGATCTTTCCCTGCTGATAAACGTGGGTGACTCCATGGTGGAAGCTGCCTCCTTGGGAGCCATATCTTCAGTTGGCATGCACCTGGGTGCATTGTTTCCCGGGCAAGGAAGGAGGCTACTGCAAAACGTATGGGCAAAAGAGGTCCCGCGCATGCTTGACCCTAGAAACAGCCATCGCATGTTCAGCTTTGAGAAGTTGCTGGTGAAGTGGCACGCTGCAGAATCCAACGTGCTGGATGGTACCCTCGAGGCTGTTCAATTCACCGATGGCTCTGTCAAGCTCCTTATGCGATGCCATGTATCTGCTGCGCAGCATACAGAGAGCGGGCTTCTGCCAGTACTGCCAGGAAGCTTCCCAGGTTCGCTGGCTGACATGTCTAATGAGCCGTAGTCTCACTTGCCTGTCGTTCACTTCTTGATTTGTATTGGCCATCGTTTTATCACAGAATCATCATTAAATTCTTGCCTCGGCAGCCAGGATTATGGTAGTAAATTGGTCTGGCCACTTGGGTCACACGCACGAATTGCTGTGGACCCCTCCAGCATGCAGTGAAATGCAGTGACGGTCTTCCGTGCACTAACCCAGAATCAGAATCACAGTGCTTTCGGGCATTACGTTTCATCACGGGTGAATTCATTCCGCGTGGAAGAAGTGGATTTTGGGTCAGTGCTGTGTTGGGTGTTGGACATGGCTCGACAAACGCGGCCTATTCCTGCCATGAGGTTCATTGCAGAACCAGCCCCCGACTGAGTTGTCCCCTTACAGCAACTTCACATGCCCTTAACAGGAGTTGTAGGAAGAAGTGCTGCTACAGACGGCTACGCCTCGATACCGCTCATATTCGTGGAGTTCTTCTCAATCGTGGGTCTCGCCTTGCATATCCGTGCGCAGGCAGGCAAGCCAAGGCACATTTTCGGCTTCCGTGTAATAGCTGCAAGGTCCCCTGAAAGCAGGGAAGGACTTTGTGGTTGAAACGGCATGTGTTTTCCACTTCCGCAACACATGTGCGAGTCACAATCACAGCCAAGTCATGAACAAGAGATTGCACGGGATGTTGTCAAGCAAAGCACCGAAATTCATACTCTGGTTTTGAATATTGACTCGTGTCGGAGAACCTGCATCCCAATGGCACACTTGGTTTGCCCATACGGTGCAGACGCTGACTGTACAGTGTATTTGAACTTTCTTGCACCCCCCAAACAAGGTTTGCAGCATGTCAAGCAGATCCGTTTCCAAGGTTGATTCACGGTTGTGGGGGGGACTTTGGAGGTCCTTCAGATGACGAAGTCAGAATTTCTGTCCCAAAGCTGTGAACGGCAGCTCTCTACATTCTGTCAATGAGCTCCATTTGCCCGCGAGGTGCCAGCCAGTATGGAAAACAGCCAGCTTACAGCTTCTTAACTATGTAACCCTATAGTATAGTAGTTTCCATGTTCTTTTCCATTATCCTTTATAATACCCCTATGTAACCCGCTAAAACCCCTACAGCATGCAAGTAGTCTTCAACTGCAGGCCGTGGATCAGCCTCTTGTGCATTTGCTGACAGCCATCCTTCAGCTGAACATGCGGTAGGGATGGTATTGGGGCAATATAGGAGTAATATAGGGGATAATGGAAAAGAAGATGGAAACAACTATGTATACTATAAGGTTATGTATAGGGGTAATATATGTCTGTAATTCCACACGCCATGCGCCATGCATCTGAACACCACAGCTGAATGCAGTTAAGTCGAGCTACATGGTTGCCATTCACAACGCACAATGGCTACAGCCTGAGCTTCAGCATGAAATGGCGTTGCTACTTCTCCAAAGATGCGCTACAGTTACTGCAGTCCATCATATTAGGCAGCTCAGACACTTGAATGGCATGTTAGTGAACCATTGCATTGGAAAGTCTTTTTGCATCCTGAAGGTCTGAACCTTGGCTCACCAGCTAATATGCATGCTCGGCACGTAGCTCCCTTAAGACCTCGACCGCACTCACAAGGCATACACCAGCTTTAGGCACCACTTGCAGCCGCGCCTGCGCTTGCTTTGGAATTACACCATTCAAAAACTCACCGCACAGATCTGACAAACGATCCCAAACTCAGAGTTGCAATCCTTGAGAACTCTACAGACCAGGAAGGGGCTATGCAGCCATACATTCGGGGGGCATCCTAGCCTAAAGCTCGAATGACGAATGGCAGCTCTGGCGACGCGGTGCTTGCTGACAGTCTCGTTGTTGTCCCGCGCTTCAGGGCACAGGCTGGTTGATTGGGCTTTTCATTCCGGAGACGATATATGAGGATTGGCAGTAGATGAGGCCTGCATAAGCCTTTTGTGTCGCCTTTTCTTGAGAGGGCTCACGGAGGCAAAGGCTTACGCAATCCTTGAAACCCTGTCAGAAACAAGATATACCTAATTTTTTGGGGTAAGGAATCCAAGCAGACTGCTTATGACATGACCAGCTTCCGAATTGTCAACAGACATCCTTCAACCATCTGCCACTCATCCCTGGACCGTGATAGTTTTGACCGGATTTGTTTAACATTCGTTTGGCCCAAATCCCCGCATGACATCTGCATGCATGCGTGCATACATACACCGGCTGGAATGTTTCGAGATGTGCTTCTCGTTTGCTCCTAGGATCCCTGAAGGCACTGCAGGTTCGAGGAGCGCCCTTCTGCCCTCATAAGCCCTAACCTAACATTGAACTGCAAGTGCTTCCGGCTCAAGCAGCTAGCCATTCCATAAAGAAGCTACTTGTTTGGATGCCTTGAGTGTAGGCCTCTGGTATGGGTCAGTGCAAGACCAGATGAACACAGTGGGCTCCAGACGGCTGAAGTTTCAAATTCTACGTCCTTCATCTTGAGACCACTTGCCTTTTGATAGGAGTAGACGCCCTCAGTCCCAAGGCCTGGAAGCCCATTTTATGGGAAAATAAACCAGCTACCGAGCCGAAGAATCGCAAACATGATTCTCACTGAACATGAAGACATTTCGAAGCTCAGGAGTCCTTTGTCGTCCGCATGTGAGTATCACAGTGGCTTCAACGATGTAGGCGAGAAGCCTCGCCACATCTACCACCAAAATGAGACAGACCATAGTGTAAGAAGGCAAAGGGCACTGCAACTTTGAGCACGCCCAAGTCTTTCCTGGTCTCTACATGTTTTGAAGAGCAGCTTCGCGATCCAACATGCCGGCGATCACGGCTCCCGAAGGCGCCGAACAGACACCCTATACAGCTGCAGGGTCTAGGAAGGTCTTTGGCTTCAGGATATGGGGCAGCACCAGTTCCGCTAGCGTGTAGGATCAGTTTCAAGACAGAGGCCTAGAGTTTCGGCAAGCATCAACCGCGAGCGCACAGACAATTACTTTAAAGCTCATAAAGGCGTTCTTCTTTTTGGCATGACTGACTTGACATTTTGTGCGCTATCGTCAGGCTTTGTCTTGGCAGCGAGGTTTGTCTCCTCTGATGTAATTGGTTCCTGCCCAGTTACGATATTCCAGGGACTTTGTTTTCCTTTTGCTGAGAAACGTGCATGCCGCAAGGACTGCGGCTACGGATCCTTTCAGACTCTCTATCACAGCAAAATGCTAGCATCTTTTGATTTTGTCCTTCACCTCAGTCAGTATGACCAACATCCAAAGCAACCAAGAGAAAGCCGCAGCAACGCTAAGAAGGAGAACATGGTAGGTGGAAGGCAGCCGTGCAAGAAAGGGCATTCATTGTCGGCCTTTATCAGCGCACGTCATGATGGGATGGCAGTGGAAAGAAGCAAGGTTTGAACGTAGAATGCGTTTTCTTTACTCCCATGGAGCTCTCAGAGTGACCATCTAGCCTCCGGTACAGTCCCTACACATCACTCCGAACAAGGATTCATCTTGAGCATCCTTTCGGGGACTTTGCGTTTCGCTGGCCTGTCTGCAGGTGAAAGCCAAATTTCTTCCTTGAAGGACAGAAGTGCGGCACGTAGTTTTGCACTTAGTATTCAGGAGTGAGGGTTAGAGTTAAGGCGCAGGATTTGTAGGGTCCTTCCACGGACATCTTATATATAGCTGCAAACAGTCAGTAGCAATAAGACTACGGCATTTGAGCCCCAAGTGTCCAGCTTGGGCACATTTGCCCTCAGGATGTCCCATACCTGATCTTTCCTAGTTCCTGCTTTAGGATGTACATCAACAGGGCATGAAGGTGTGCCGCGTAGTGGCAACAATTGCCACGCAAGACAGAATTCAGCGGTTCTTCTCGACTAAGCGAAAACGCAGTGACTTGGATGGCAGCTGCTAGCTTAGCTGCCTAGCCAGTCGGGGAATCGACTCTGATGCATCCGCGGTTCCGCTGAGCCAGAACTAGGGCCAACAGTACTGTTGGGCTGGCAAGTGCCTCTGTCGCTAAACCACTGTTTCGTGTCGGACGGCTTCTCGAAGTCCATTGTAGTAATCATTGTTGTGGCAGCGACTTGAAGATGAGATGTGATGCAGTATGTTGGCAAAAGCAAGCTGCAACGCATGACTTTCTGCGAGGAGGGTGAGCTTGCTACCCTCAACTTGTCCCAGATCGACCCGCGGGTTCTGCAGGCACCGGGGAGGAGGGGTCAAACTGAGACATGAGCTGCCGTCTGATAAATCATAATGGGCTCGGCCCAATCGTGACGATCAGCATGGTGAAGAGGAAAATGAAGAGGATGATGATGAGGATGGTGATGAGGACGACGGCACTGCTGTTGCTGCCGTTGCCGCCCCCGCCCCCGCCCCCGCCGCCGCCGCTGCTGCTGCTGCTGTTCTGAACTCTCGGTACACTTGATTTAGCTTGGCAAGTGCACGTAAGCTGGCAAAGTTGACGCCTTCGATCTGTGCAGGCAGCATGGCCGTTCCGCAATTACGCAAGTGGAAGCATCAACAGTTGTCATAATGGCCAAATGCATCATCATCATCATCATCATCATCACCATCCTCATCCGCATCACCAGCAGCAAGAGCAACAGAGCCAGTGCAAAAGAGCGAGAGCAAGAGCAGGAGCAAGATCAACAGCATCGATAACGACAACAACAGCAGCAGCAGCAACAACAACAACAGCAACAGCAACAGCAACAGCAGCGGCAGCAGCAGCGGCAGCAGCAGCAGCAGCAACAACAACAACAACCACAACAACTACAACTATGACAAGAACAAGAACGGGAAGAGACGACAGCAACGACAACCTCTACAGCGGCAACCAAGAGCAGCAGGCACAACAGCAGCCGCAGCAGATGAGAAGCATTAAAGGCTCTGTGTGTCTGTGTGTGTGTGT